GGTAGGGGAAGCCTATAACCCCATATAAACATATATATATATATTTTTATTTATATATATATATATATATTTAACAATTATTCACCTCAGGTTAGGTGAATATCGTCGAATAATCCCCAAGACAAAGTCGAGGGGATTATTCAACAATATTCACCGAACCGAAGGCGAATAATTGTTTTAGTATAATTTCAGAGCTGAACAACAGAGAAAATTCTAAAATCGTAACATTTTAGTAACATTTATTAACATTTTAGTTTAACATTTTATGTAAACCGCACGGAGCAGTTTATACAGGGTCATATAAGGAACCACTCAACCAATCAGATTGCCGGAAACTCTTTGTTCAGCTCTGAAATTATACTAAATATATGTATATTGCCCCACACATTCAAAGCTTTCTAAAAGCTGTAAAATTATCTGCATCATGCACAATTTAAAAATCAAATGAAACTGATTTGATTTTGATAAAATGATACAATCGTCACCATGCTCTAGGCTCGAATCCAAGCCTGCAGCACAGCAGGGTTTTCTTGAAGTTTTTCATAGAAATACGCTCTCAAGATGTGTATGATGATGTACATTGAGAAAGTTGTCTGACATAGAAGGTACAGGTAGTTCAATTTAGTTTTCTCGAGAACGTCTCATCCTGGGTGGCAGTCTCTTGTTGATTTTTTGTCGAGGATTTGGAGCCTGAAATTGACAAAGAGATTGCTGTAATTGTTAATGATGTTCCAGAAACCCTAAAAATGGTTGCTACAGTTATACAATTTTGAAATTCCCTTACAATTCCCAAGCCAACTGTGTTAACAATTTCACAAAAGGATCTTGATAATGACCTCCAAACTCTTCAGCCATGACATCATGCTTTCAGTGACTGGCATAGAGTGGTAATGATCCGATAGCTCCTTTAGGCAACACATTGAAAAACTATTGGTTTTCTTGAAAACACAGTGGCAACCAGTTGTTCAATTTTATTAAACAAAGTACATCATAAAAAGGAAAGCATAACCATCTTTCATCATGGAGAGGGATACGACAGGATGCATGATCGAGTTTACAATTCTTTAAATTTTTGCTTTTCTGTGACTTCTTTGAAAGATGCAAATTTTCCTTGTTTCAGAGAGAAATTCCCTGACTTTTCTCTGACATTGAAGAGTTTTTTAAATTAAACCTTTCAGTCCCAAGATTTCATTAGTAACTCTCCTTACTATTTGCCATACAATTCGCATGATATTAGTTTGGAGAATTTGGTACTGGATCAACTTATAATCCCCCGATGATATTTTTCTTCATTCTCATCATTTGTCTGTATTGGTCATTCACGAGAGTTACCAGCTGTAGAGAGATTTATTTTTGCCCGATTTTTTCCTGATCTGTGGCAGCCATGTTAGAACCTCAAACAAAAACTGTACTTAAACTTTTTTTAAAATCACTGTCAAGTACCTACTTGTGGAGTGTTCTGCACATTTGGCATTTGGTGTTGGTAGAACATCAGTGGAGGCTGTTCTTCTGTAGAAACACAAATCCAAAATGTTTAGAAGAGATCTCGATAGAATTGAACAATGTTGGCAATGCATAAAACCACACAATGAAACTCACCATATACATACATATAGCCCCTAGGGTGAGGGTGAGGGTGAGGATAGGAGACCTGGTGACAAATTTGAGAATCATCAACAAATAGCATTTAATATTTTTATAATTGCATGAACCAACAAGACACTCCCCAACAACAAAGTTAGCAATATTTATTTTTTTCCAAATTCTGTGTTTTCAAATTGGGGGTGTGGCTTATCTATGAATGTGGTTTATAATGGAGCTCCCACACACTTTGAGCACGTGAGGCAGAACCCCTTACCCATGGAATATGGTCACCCTCTTTTCATTTGGTTATGTGACTGACCGAGCATACGTACATACATACGTGCCTAAGGGAGGGGTGACTCAGGAGAGTCTTGGCAAATGCACATCTTTTATGTTATCATTAATATTACGAACTTGGGAGCTCCGCTTTTAGGCTTGGCTAAATCTATACATTACACGGATGTTTATAGTACTTTATGCTAAAGACATGTTAGATATTGTCAAAACAATCCCAGAGACAAATTCCAACAGGTTATTTGACAATATTAGTTGATTGGGAGGCAAATGATTATTAATTCTTATTAGAATAACTGAAAGGATATAAGATTCTAATTGACTTGGATGCAACATCTTCAATTCTCTCTCTGTGTCACAAAATACTACAAGACAATCTGAAAAGGAGTATACAGCTATCTCAGGTAATTAATTGAAGTGAATCTTGGTTTCTTTCAAACATCAACATTTCATGGACATGCTGTTTTGATGTTAGTAGCGCTTTCAATGTTACTTGTAAACTGTTCCATGTTTGTTTATACCTTTACTTATAAATTATATCTTGTAGTTTTAAATTTTATCCTGTATTTTCAGCTCTCAAGATGTCTTGTATTCTTAACTATTGTAATTTTTTACTCCAGGGCCCCTCTGGATATCAGCCTCGCTGCTGAATGGGCCATCATGGCTAAATAAAGTTTACCTACCTACCTACTAATCACCTTTCACAGGGTTCTTTTTTTTTTAAGTTATAACATACTTTTCAGCCAATCAGAGTGTGTTTATCTCTATAATCATGATATTAACTAATATGGCTCATCAATAAATTAAATCAGTGCTTTTGATTGGCTTGTGAACAGCAAATACTATTCACCTATGAGCAGCTGAGGAGACAAAATCATACGTACATCAAGTGTTTCTTTTCCAACCATGTTTCAGTATATTTAACAACTATTCACTGAAGTGGAGGTGGTTAGTGGTGGATATTTACCGAGCCGCGAAGTAAATATCCAGAGCTAACCACCGACACCGAGGTGAATAGTTGTTTTAGTATATACTAACACAGTGAGATAATATGCACCACCAAAATTGATTTGAGCGATTTCTTTGCTTGTCACGGATGCATACCGTGACGCCATTTTTTCCCGAGTTGCTCAAAGGTAAATAGCAAAGGATATTTGGAGTTTGACTAGCCAATCAGAGCGCGCCTTCAACGCTATCCACTGTTTTAGTATATACCAATAAAAGAAATTAACTAATTTTTTGGCATCTGTGTGGTATATACTAATACATTTATTGACCACAACTTTGTGACATAATTGTTAGACATTATTTCAGTGGCCCTGTGCAGTTTAAGTTCTCACCTGACATGGGTGTTGATATGTATACTGAAACAAATATTCAAAGCACAAGGGTCAGAAAATGTCTGTGTAAAGATCAAAATTCATTAGGGTATCAAAACAGTGTATCAAAACAGTGTATCAACACAGTTTATCAACACATACCATAATTTCTAGCCGTTACCCACATGGACCATCACCCGCACCAGCCAATTATTACATACATTCATATATTTCCTAAGGTGTTGACAAGAATAATTTGTTTAACAGTCAAGGGCTTCATTAGGTTGTGATCATTTTCTTCATTCTTGTTACCTGAATGTTTGATTCACGGGTGATTATGTGAGGAGAATTTAGATACAAGTCACTCTTAGAGGTTAACAGGTAAATGTGACTCAAATTGTGATAAGTTCTGGCATGAGCCAAGTTTTCTTATGAGTTTCAAAGTCCTTACCTGTGGCGCTGGAGACAACTGACTATCAGAGTATGTGTACGATGGAACTGGGTAGTAGAAGTCCCCTTTCATTTGAGTGCTGACTATAGAAAAGAAAATAAGAATCTTCATTCTGTACACTCATAATAATCTATAATCTTCACAGTTATTGTAGATTTTTTAACCAACATGTTAAATAGAATTGCATTCATTTGGTTTTTCTTGATTCCCTTATTTCCTTAAGCATTACAGGGCTTAAATCCACTTTTAATCAAAGACAGGCAATTTGAGCCCTTAAATGCATAAGAGGAAGATTTAACGACATTTTTTAATTTATGAATTTTCAAGGGTTTGTATGGAAAACCATATAGGTGAGACTGGGTGGCAAAAGTTGTTTTTTTTGAACAAATGCTTCTAACTTTCAGCAGCTGTTGCAATCGCTACTCTTGAGATAGACGGCTGAAAATTCTCAGGTTACTGGTACCTAGTTTTAATATGCTCTTTCAGCTTGTGCTAACACAATTTTTCAAAAGTGAACTGTTTTTGCATTAACCAAAAGTTGATCATGTGATCAAGTCAGGCAAAGAGCCTATTGGTCTGGAGAACTCGTGCTCCCCTTCCAGCCTATGAGATGTAGAACTAAAACAAATCACCTCTTGGAATTTCCTTCTTTCTCATCTTTCGAGCAGTTTTCTAATTTTTACTTTGGACTCTTGATTCCTTCTACTAATCATTTCCCTTCTCTTATTTCTACATGTGTATATGTACCACAGTATAACTTTAATTTCTGACAGAGTGCAGGACATTTGTGGAAACTTTGACCAATCTGAAGAATTTGAATTAAAAAAGGTATTAAATATGCTACAGAACATTCACAAGTAGAACAATTCTCTTCATCTTCCACTTACCAACCACAAGTTCAGGGGATTCAGGAGACATTGGTCCCTTTAAAATAAACAAAGTGAAAAAATTTGAGAACCAAGTTAGTTTGATTTAGAGTTTTATTAAAACTATCATAAATAATTAGTCCTCAAGGTTACTCTCCTCCTTCAGATGCCAAAAAAAAAATCATTTTTTCTTTCGTTTAACTAAATTGAAGTCAAACATTTTACCTAAAAATTTCCGAGAAAAATGAATTTAAAAATCTGCAAAAGCGTCCAAATTATTAAAAAAAAAAAAACAATTTTCATAGAAAAGTTAAGAAATCAGTAAGGTGTCATAATCTTGTACCTTGTACCAGCTTTTCCATTTTTAGCGCAGGTTTTTGGGTCACCTAATATTGTATTGCCCTCCCTCAACGCTCCACTGAGCAATTGAGATATTAAAAACGTGTCTGGAATGCTTTACATATGGGCAGTCTTAATTGATACATTGTCACTGATGCCAGGAGGTCCCAATTTTGCATTAGTTTGTGATTTCAGGAGGTGAGATAATCTCCTGGTGTGGCACAAGTTGAGAGGAATATATGCACTGTGCAAATTTATAGGGTATGTAGATTTGACCAATTTTCATGAAATTTCACCAAAACATTCCAGGGATGACAAACGAAAATGTGTCCAGAAATTTAGAAGTTTGAAATATTTTTCACATTATCTCTCACATATTTTACACTACTCTAACTTTAGATGCATATATCTAGACAAACAATCAGAATTTTGGAAAAGTCTGACACATTTTTGTCAATTAATGCCTTGTGAATAAGACTGTGCAGCCATTTTGTTGATGCTGCAGGATCTGATACCTAATAAATTCAACAGAGGGACCCCTCAGCCGTTTCACGCCTTACTAACTCCCGACACTTCCTGAATGAAAAAAATCGCTTAAATCATATTTTTATTGTAAACTACATTTATCAAGCTTTCTTCTGAAGTTTAGATTGTTGTGATTTTCTTTAAACTAGTGCACATACAAATTTCTCCCCAAAGGACACCCACAGAGGCGGGAAGCAACCTTAAATGAAAGCTTAAGGCTTACCTGTTTCTTCACAGCAGGTCCTAAATTGAGCTTTTTATTACGAAAAAATAAAGTTCCCTGCAAAATATAAGTAATCAAAAAATATTCACAAACAAATTTTTTAACTTAGCAGAAAATACCTCCATCCTCTCTTCCATTTAACCCTTTCACGGCCAAGGTCTCTTAAGTATTTCTCCTTACTGTCTGTCATAGAGTTTTTATAATGTTGGTTCTGAGAATTGGTTATTAGGTCAACTAACCTAATGGAAGGTAGTTTAAGGGTTAAATAGCTGGAAACATTAGCCACTACACAACGAATTTCTAACTTAAGGTTAATGGAGAGTCTTTTGCACCACACCAAAACAGTTTGACTTCTTTTTGTTTGGTTGGTTGGTTGGTTGCTTTTCTATTTTTTCTTTTTTGGTATTTTTTTCCTCTCACTTTGCTTGAGGTACTTATTAGGGAATTTAAGCAAACCATGACAGCGACAGCAACGAGAATGTGGAAAAACAATAGATCTAACTGGCAGAACAATAGCCCAGCACGTGTGTTTTAAAACTTTGTGCATTTCTTAGCCGTTCTTTACAAACAAACAACGTGAAGTCACCAAAATTTGCCTCATCTGTGTACTGAAACCACGGCGGCAAATTATTTTAATTTACATTTGGAACTAAATGCTACTTTTATGGATTATGTTGAGTTTGAGGTCTGGCGCCCTACGATATGGCCACATGCAGCCATTTCCGAAATTCTAACTAAAAGTAGAAACTCATTTTTGAATCGAAGTCTTCTGTGGCGTTGCCGTCATGACTGCTTAAGTTCCCTATTGACTGAGTGAGAGAGCAGGATGGGAATAAATTGGCTTGAGATTGTGGAGGTATGAACTGATCACAGTAAGGTCTATGTGTCATGTCAGACCCATGTATTCTTGTCTGCCTTGACCACACTCAATCAAACTTTTCTATCACGACCCCCAACCTTTCAAATTGTTTTTACTTGAAGCTGGAATCCAAATAGGTCACTATTAAATTCATAAAAAAAAGGTACTAGGCAGACAATAACAGTACGTACAAAACAATAGTTTCTTATTCAAGTCTTGGAGTTAGAGCATGGAACTACAAATGTCTTGCAAAATGTGAAAAAATTTTCTAATTTCTTTTCCCTTCTGTCATTGCAGACAACAACAGGTATTCATACTATTGGAAAATGCACCAGTGCAGAGTGAGTGCAGGGCTGAACAGTTTTATCCAGACTGGCCTGTGTCAACCTATTTGGTCATACAAGAGTCATCTTTCATTATGGTTTCTTATAGCATTGCGTGCGAGAGACAGCACACTTTGTGTCATAAATAGTGTTATACTATGGTTGAATTTCAAATATTTCAAACAATGATTCAGAAATAACCTTTAGTTCAAGCGAGGTCTAGGTAATTTGGTCAAATTAAACATTGCGTGAGTTGAGCCATACAGGTCACTTCATAAATAGCATTATGTTGTGGTTTAGGTTCAAAATAAGAATGATTCAGAAATAACTTTTGGTCCAGACAGCTGTTTGGTACTGCAGACTTTGGTAAATTTACACTCTCCTGACTTGATCACCATAAGTGCCAGTATGTCAAAAGTTATTGTGGTTGAAAAACGTTTCTTTCATCGAGATTTAATTCCTTTTTCTGAACGCCTATCCATTTTTTTTACTTTTTACATTTCCACCGACAAAGGGCTAATACTCGCTTTTATAACCGCAACGGTGGCCAATTTACCATTTCAACTTAGTTGATATATTCAATTTTTACTGAGTCAGACATGGTGAGTGAGAACCCAATCATATACTATGCCTGAATATTTACAAAGATGTTCCAAAAATATTCCCATCCTTGTGAAAGTAAAAACAACCATATCTATCCCTCCACAACTGAAGATTTTAGACAATACACAGGCATTCTCTTTAAATTTTTTTTGCACTCTCATCATTCACTTAGATTCAAAGCTACCTTTTCTTCGAAAAATTTACCCAAGATGGCAAATTTAAATGCCAGGTGTAAGAAATCACTCATCAGGCATCAACTGGTTTGGTTAAACACCTATATTCTTGTTGGCTCTGAAAACAATTATTTTAAAATATCTTACCATCTCTGTAACATTATGAACATCTTTTTCTGAGGCAAAAGTGACAAATCCATATCTGCCAGGCGATAAAACAGGAACAAAATTGAACAGTCATGTCATAAGTATTGATGATCTGCTCTCAAAATATTTTACAACCCGATAAACCATGGACTAACGAAGCAAAAGCAAGGTCCCTCTGTGAACATCTTACTTTTTTCCTTGAGGTATCCACAGAATTTTATTGACTCCTTGCACACATTTCCACTAGTTAAACTAAAAAAAACTCCCACAAATGAGACTTGAAACTCAGGTAATTATCATTGTTATGTGTTGATGGCATATTGAATGCTGAATAGATTCTTACTATACAACTGGGCGATAAAATAAACTTACCCTTTTGAAACATTGTTTTCATCAAAAATAATTTTTGTCTCTATGACATGTCCAAAGTTGGAAAAATAATTGGCCAATTCATGAGCAGTTGTCTGAAAAATAAAATCATGCCAAATATTTAATTTATCTAAAGTGTTTCTTGTGCAACATCAAATCCTGCCTTAGTAAGCACCAAATTATTTGTCCTTCATATTCTAAGCCAGGATAATCAGCCACGTTAAGACACAAATTGGCACAAATTTGACAAGGATAAATTTAGAAGATTTACCTTGCCCTTTGGAGCCAATTAAAAAAGAAAAAACCTGTTATCGTGTTTAATTAAGCAGCTTGCAGCCTCCATTTAAAAGCGATTACGAAGTGTGACCCATACAGTACATTAAAATAATTGTCATCCCAAGTGAAGTATCAGGTTGATCTTAATTTAAAAACCCTCATTGTCAGAAATTTACTCTGATGTTAATGAGGTTTTTCCCCCACCATCCCCTCCCTCCCTATCTCATGGAGTTGACACCCCAACACTATTACAAGCCTTTAAGCCTAATATTACAGATGGTTTATAGAATTTAAGCTAGACCTTTCTTTGAAAAAAAAATAACAACAACAAAACCAAAACGCAAACAACCCAGCACTCTCAAAAACCCACCAGTTTAACAAAAAAAAAAATAAATATCCACATATTTCCGCCAGATCGGAATGATTAATTGGTAACAAGCGTGTTAAAATTCGCGCGCTTCTCTAATGCATAATTAATTCAATCACAAATACTAACAAATTTCATGTCCGATTGACCAGTTGTGCGAACTTCGCTGGATCACAATGATACTTAGACATTGATTATTTGATTAAAACACTGATCAAAACCACAGTCTTAGCGCAAACGGGATATAAAAAAAGAAAAGCACTTCAGAACTATCTACGAGATGTATCGAGAAAAATCACACTTCCACATTTTGACGGGGAATTTTGAACATAGACACGACGTCTTGGAAAAAATACGGCAACAATACAAACTTTCAATTTCATTTCCTTTTCCGATTATTTTTCTTTTGATTTACAGTTGTAATTTCCACTCACCAAAAGCATATAGCTTAACACAAGACAAACAATAACAGGCTATTGTGGCCTAATGACCGCAACAAGCGAGTCACGTTCGCAAAATATCGTTGCAATTGCGGGTTTGTAGAAAACATCATTGGTAAAGCAATATGATTGAAACCAAGCTAATCGTAACAGAACTCTGAGTATCTTTTTAAATATAGATTTACCCTAAAGAAGTGTGGAAACATAGTTGTTGTTCTAACTCAAGAGGCCTTCACGTGTTTTATTTGGACTGTTCGCTACCAAGATAATAGCCACTGATCAAATGAACATAATCTTCAGCAATCAATTTTTTAACACTCATCTAAGATCAGTGTTATTAAAAGGATAGAAAACAGCACGAGATACAGCTTACATTCACCGGTAACCCTCCAACAAACAAACGGTTACGGAAACGCTTTCCGAAGAGGTAGGTCGAAGAATTCTCCTGGAAGACAAGGTCAGAGAATCTGTGGGTTATTCGCACATAACGATGTTACAAACTGTTATCATTTAAACTATTCAGTGTCGATTTCTTGCCGATGGTTTCAGTAAACCTTAAAGCTTAGAAAAGAACGGCCGTTGATCAAAACAAAACTTTGTAAACTTGCAACAAAGTATGGATTGCCAAATAGATGGCTTCTCAACTATTTCTATATGCAAGAATGCCGTTTTTAAGACCAATCACCGAGACCTCCAACATGCAGATTTGAGATCGCAGAATCTTGGAAGAAATGCTGGGATATTCAAAGGTTACACAAGATAATGTTTTCTTACCATTACTGACTATAAGTTGAAACGAAGGAGAAACATAAATCCTGAGAGCTCGGCAGTTGCACGTGGAAACTAAACTAACCGCAGATGTCAAAGTTCTTTTATACCCAGGGGTACACGTTATTAATTACCTAATTTCACGGATGTTACGAAAACACGGGAACAGGGAGTTAACAACAATTGACATAATTTCCCAGCGGAACATATAGCTTGAATGACGAAAACAATGCAATTCTAAATGGACTACAAAGGTATGAGCTAATTCGCATACAGTTCTCAAAACTTTGCCAATTTTTTTTTCGGGAAAATGCGAGCCACTTTTAAACAGAAGCACGACTGATAGCGGTTCAAAGTGGGTGGTTTTAACTGGAAAGAAAGCACATGGTTTCGATTTGATAGATCAGTGCTCACGGCTCGAAGCTGTTACTTTCAAGACGTTCACTATCGCCAAATCACAGCCTCTTTTGATTAAATAGACCGCGTTTGCTAATTTGACAGCGAAAACCATAACATTGACCAGAACAAAGTGTGGAAGGAAAAAATATATTAAGTTGATTATCGAGATTCTACCATAAGATTTTTAGATCATTCATCATATTAAGATAATTGCTGAGGGAAACGTGTCATTTTAAGGTCAACTTCCGGACCAGAAATGCTTAAGATAGGCTGAAAAAAAAAGGACTCTTCTTTTTTCTCAAATGTAGCGCCATCTTTTGTTTGAAAGCTTTTGGATGAACTGGCATATTCATTTCCTTTTCACTCTTATCTTTCAAGCGCATCAAGGATCCAGAGTTGGGAACTGTAAACAAAGACTTATTATCCCATCTATCAAGACCATCAAGTGAAACATTTATCCCAGGGTATTATTTTTCCCACGCAAGAAGTGTGATATTGATATTGAGTTCTTCCGGCCAGATTTGAATGTTTACGGGGTGGAGTAGCTTGATTAACGAATAAGCAGAAAAAATCCATAACATTATTTCAGAATACGTAAACTGTGCCCGTATTGTTAAAGTACTATTGAGCCGCCAACAAAATCCCTCGGGAGTTTTATTTTACGAGTACGAACGGGAAAAATAAAGATGTTAGTCCGCCGAACTTGAGAACAGCTTAATCATGACAATGGTGTCTGATTAGTTGGAATGTTTTACTTTATACTCAAGATTCACGAAGAACGACGTATTTCTAATCATCCTCCGACAGAAAAATTGTGGAATGTTCTAAAAAAAGAAAAAAGTTCGACGCGCCAAATTTGCACGCTTGTGAAAACAGACTTATATATTTCCGGTCGCCGCTTCTCTCATCGCAACAAGTGTCCATTAATTTGTAGCTATTGTGAAGTTGATGAAAACTTTGAGAGTTTATAACCGTTTTAGAATATTTAAGACCCCGTCCTCTACATCTTAATAGCATTTTCTACGAAATGCGATATTCATCTTGTTAGCATGAACAGTTCGTAGATGTTTCAGATAAAAATCTTATCCATTAAAATCCGTTGAATCGTGCGAATAGTAAATTTTCTCAAGTGTCGTAAACAAGCATCTTATCGAAGTCGCTTTAAAAGTGCATGGCGGCTTTTTTTTTTAAGTAACACCTCTAATTTTCAGTCTTCTAACACAAACAGGGATGATCTTATCTTCTTGTTGAAGATTAATCTGATAATCTTTGACATTACACAGTGCAGGGGAGAAATTTTCAAAATTGCTTCGGACAGCTAGCAGCTGCCTTACCATAGCTATTTAGTCCCTAATGCCTCACGCAAAGAAAATAAATGTTCACTATTTAAAAGAAATCAAAATGATTTCTCGTGACAGGCTTCAGTGATGACCCCAAAAAGGCTATCAGAAAATGTTGCCTTCTGCACGAAGACTGCAAATTAATTTTAGCCAGAGCCAGCTAACTGTGTGTTTTAGCCTGGGGCGTTCGAATTCCGCATTCAATTTCACGGAGACGCACGAACTGAGGCCTTTTTCCCGGTATTCTTAGAAAATGTTAGATCAGGTCAACGAGGTCTGTCGCGATCTAGTAATCTTTCTGCTTGATTTCCTCAATGCCAAGGTTACAAGAGAACCTGGCTCCGCAGTCTATCACCAGTTTACCACACAGAGTTCTCAGCCTTTCACACCCTGTATTGTACACTGGCATCAGTATATATATTTTCCATACTGTTCTGCACACTTTTCGTATGGTGCTGAAGAGAAGAATTCGTTTACCATCGAGTGCTTGTTTAGATGGTGATCATTACTTTTAATAATAATATTAATAAATAAGTAAATTGAGGCTCCACCTAAGGGGCTTAAAAAATCCCCCCTGAAAGGAGGCAGACTAGTGGGCTATTTACAGAGCGCAGGCAAGGAGTTGGACTACGGGCAACCGAGAACAAACAAATCCAGTGAGGGGCGGAGAACTTGAACCCGGGACACCAGATTACTCAAACCACTCGGCCATGCCGCCTCTTCGCGATGTTTTATTCTCAAAATCCTACAGTGTGATTCTGAGGTTATGATGTGAAAAAGAAAATTTAGAAACAAGTCACAGGGTAAAGTGCAATCTGATTACTTTTCTGGCACGTGCAACTGGGCACAGTTTTGGCACTTTCAATCGTCAATTTTGCGATAAATCAAATCGACACTTCCCAATTTAGTCCTCCTTAAATCATACCTGCTCGTCGTCACCAAAACCGATGTCTCTGGTCCGAAAACACTTATACGGGGAGAGCAAGAATTTCCTGCCTCCCCCTGTGAACCATTTGATTACTTCCCCTCTATTTCTTGTAGTTTACCGTCCACTTGATTCCCGCTGATCCTAATGCAGCACTAATCAGAAAGAGGATATTTCCTCTATTGATGACTTTGAGTCAGATTGTCGAGTCTTTCCTTGTCATCGACCGCAGTCCTGCGAGGATTATCTGCACCTGGACGATCAGGCTTACCCGATCAACAGAGTAGATCTGAATTTCCGTTCAATGTAACATTGATCGCATTCCGTCGACGAATCGCCTCTGCAGTACTTCTCATGCCTATTTTCTCGATTCAATACGCTAGGTTTTTAATTTAAAAATTCACATTATTTTTGATATCTTGTTGTGGATTATAGGGGTGAAATGCGAAATTTTCTATTTGTTGGACTCGGCAAAGTCTAATTTGACCTCTCATGAGCTAACTCCACAGAATCCAGATTTTAAATTACACATTCGCGTTCCAATAAATGTGTAGCTTGACTTATTTGGCCAAATGCCAAGGTCTTTCCAATCTCTTGATATATTCATAAGTAGAACGAACACTGGATCCTAGCGAACCCGGTATTCATACCCCGCGAAACTTAAAGAAGTGTAAATGTTATGCACAGAAAATGCTAAGATAGGAAAGGCATCTTCGTAAGTAATCCATTTGAAAACGTTAAGGCTGTTAGAGCTTTCCCTGAAATATTTAGATAATGCATATTTACTACTTGGCTGTAACATACTGAAAAGGAAAAAAGGAAGAGCTCATTTTTTATCTTATACACTTGCCTACGTCGCCGGTATACGGATTACCATTCCGGTGAAAATCAGTTTAAACAAAACGCCAAAATGGCATTGTTCCTTGCATGCTGAGCCCAAAGAAAAACCTCCGAAGAACCTTGAAGTGCTTTTTAAGGTAGGTCTAGAAGCGAGAAAAACTTTGCATTGAAATTCATTTTTACGTAAGTCGAATGCAGTTCCGAATGTTTCAGCGGAAGGTACCGCAAAGGATCCGGTCTCTTACCGCCAATTGTTCAGAATTAAGCGGTGCTTGTAACTGTTTGAGCAGTGACAGAGCTCTAACGGGCCGCTTCACCAACTACACTGAACAGAGCGTGGGAAATTAAGTCTCGTGGAACCGGTAGCAATGATAAAATATGGCCTTTAGTCTCAGGGTAACGACCACCTTTAAGATCCGGCATGTTTTTTCTTTGTTTGTTTGTTTTTATTTTTTATTTTATTTTCCGGTCAAGTGAGGAACTCAGTTCAACAGGGGTCTCTACCTATGATGCAATAGCGAGAGAAGGCTGTGCTGGACGACGACACCCCGAACTGACAGAAAGCCTGCTCGCGGTAGACCGCCGGAAACCGGTTTTCAGTGAAACCCTGGAGTTCAATGTCCCACTATGACCAGAATCTTACGAATCTCCGGCCCAGCAGCTATTGATGCAAGAGGGACCTTAAGAAACCACGACGGCGACGCCAAGGAAGACTTCGATTAAAAAATGAATTTCTACTCTTAGTTAGAATTTCAAAAATGGCTGCGGGAGCTTACTGTCTCATACAGCTCCACAGCTCAACTTCAGCATGACGTATAAAGTAGCCGTTGAGTTCCAAATGGAAGTTAAGATAATTTGCCGTCGCGATTTCGGTTTACAGACGACGCAAATTTTGGCGATTTCACGTTGTTGTTTTGCATAGGACGGCTAAGAAATGTACAAAGTTTCAAAATGCACGTGCTGAGCTATTGTTCTGCCAATTAGATCTCTTGTTTTTCCACGTCCTCGTTGCCGTCGCCGTCGTGGTTTCTTAAAGTCCCTATTGTGTTTGTCCTATCTTTTTATAAGGATAATTTCGATGCAAGTTTTTTTAAATTCTTTCAATATAAACTAGTGGTTGCTTTCGCGATTTTTATATGTAGGTCGGTTTTTATTATCAAAGTTAGTTTGGGTCTGATACGAGTCTGATC